TTATTGCGCGATAACAACAAGCCTCAGGAGCGAACCTGCCAATTAAATAGGTCAAAATAGCTATAAGGTACAGTCAAATTTTTCCATTTGATAATTAAGTTGCAGTCATCATAAGAGGAATGAATAAAGTGTCGGAACGGAACCATAAAAATGCACTTTTGGTATATTTATTGCAAAAATGACTGCATATTATTCATTCGCGCGCACTACTGATGAATAATTTTGTACGCAATAATATTCTTCAGGTTGTAATTTGCGACATTTTTATGACGTTTCTAATTTTCACATAACAATTTCCATCGGTTTTATACACAGCGCAGCGATACCTGTTTTTTTCAGCTCGATTAGCGATTTTTAATTCTTCGCAACCATCGACTAATATACCAAGTGCATGACGACAGCAAATGAAGGCAACCTTTACAGCTTAAAATTACTAAATTAAATGCAAATGAAGACCTGGTCTGTAAATAAATAATGAGCAAGCAGACTTGTAAAAAATAAGTCTAGGAGCAAGCAGACTTGTGGCCATTCAGTGGGGCATGAGGTGCATACGGAAAGCTCGCAGCTAACAGCGAGAAGTTCAATGCAGAACAAAGCACATGCATGCAGTGCCTGGTATAAAGGTCAAGCGCCGCTGCTATGAGTGCAGGCAGAGATTAGTGACAGGAGATTAGTGTCAGCGTGACAGGAGCTATCACTCTGAGATGTGTTGTGAGGAGTAGCGTGCAGAGATTAGTGCTGCACCAGCGTGACAGGAGCTGTCACTCTGAGATGTGCTGTGAGGAGTAGCGCGCAGAGATTAGTGCTGCACCAGCGTGACAGGAGCAGTCACTCTGAGATGTGCTGTGAGGAGTAGCGTGCAGAGACATGGCGACGAACCAGAGTGATAGGAGTCGTCACTCAAAGAAATATAACTAGCATGTCAGGAAAATGTGCAGGCAAGTTAGAGTCTTAGACACGCGCGAGATGGGCACAGGATGAGAATATACGTACTGTAGTTGTGCGGAAGGTGAACAGGATTGGTGTATTTCAATTTGTGAGAATTGATAATTTATCAAGTTCTTAGAAAAATGAGCAATATCTGTTAAGGCTGCTGACGAATATCAATCCGTTATAATTTTAAATAAATAAATGGAGTTTCAAATAAGTGAGCCATGCTCGAAAATTCGATATTACGAGCATGTCAATGGCCGTCGGTCGTCGCTGAACTATAAAATAATGAAATTAAAAATGACCGTCGCTGAACTAGATACAATGATCAGATAAAAAGCTAAGAACCAAAAATTGATAAATGGGATTTTTATTGAAGTGTATAATACGGCTGCTCGTTACGCAAGAAACGCCTTGCGTAAAGGCGCTCACCACTCAGGGCCTTTAAAACGCACGCGCGAACGTTCAACTGTCTTGTCATTACTTGAGTCTTGCTATTACTTCTCATTGCGGCATATTTTTCCGCTTTTTATTTGTTAATGACATCGTGAAACGTAATGACCACTCAAAACGCCTCGTGAATGAATGACTGCGGATGTTAAAATCAAGCGCTACAAGAATTTTTGCTGACCCGACTTTGCATGATGATCACGAACCTGCAGAGTTCGTTGCCATGCAGCAGCCGTCAAACCGTTAGCAGGTGACCATAACGAAATTCTCTAGAGCACTCAAAGTAGAGACGACCGCAAATTACCGCAAGGACATAAACAGAAGAAATAATCGGGTTACTAACCTCGTTGCACTAGAAAATTTTCTGCGAATGATTAAAGAAAGTGTGAAATTAAAAACTTTAAGCCCTGGGTTCAAACGACTCGAACTACAGAGAATAACAAGATTGCAAGTAATAGCAGAGGAGCAAGTTTATCAATGAATTTGTCACCCAAAAGTCAACCTAATGTTATACGAATACAACTACAACTAAACACAATAATCGGCTCCATCTCTGCTCTGTCTGTACGTGGGCATTAAAGAAATTAAATTAAACGAAAGTTCCCAGAACCAAGATATAGTGGTCTGTATATAGAGACAGTTGAGCAAGTTCCGTCATTTTTCTTGGAAATTAATGGCAAATATAGCAAACTATCATTGAGCACTGTCAAATGTTCAAAAATGAGTACGACATCTAAAGTCTATCAACAAAATCCTTCTTCGCGTAATGAACCAAAATTACTAAACTTTATAGAAGAGTGCCTCAAGTTTACTGAGCTCGCAGAAACCACGATGTATCCAGAAATCGTGCTGCATATGTCATACAAGTATAGAAGAAAATGTGAAGAAAATTCGCCAACTTTTCTAATCGTATAATTTTTCTACGCGAGTTTCATGCCCTCAAGATTCACGTGGAGCTCAACAGCAGCGGTTTTTGTATCGCTAAATTCGCAAATCAATATTTTTTGTCGTTAAATTTAATTTTTTAGTTACAAAACAAAAAGGCGACTTATCGCCCTCACTGCGGGTTAACAAATAATACATAATTAATGTACCGTATAGGAGTTGGAAATACATTCAAATTTTTTTTGTACGGATACTTTAGCCGTCAATGCTGCTCGTATTTAAAGACCTAATAACGACAGTTGACATCAGTATAGCACGTTTTTAGCCCCGAAACATAAATTACTCCGCTATAGTTAAAGTTTCGTGGTTTTGCGTAGCGATCAGAATTAAAAGATTCGGTGCCGTACGAACATCGACAAAAAACTTAGCCGATGGCATCGCATGCCGTTCATTCAAAACTTTGGCACCTGGAAATGGGTCACGAGTCGAGGCTCTGAAATTTTGCAATTTTTCTTCATTCGTTGTGAGTAAAAATTAGAAGTAATCGCTTAGGGTTTTCTCAGTTGCTATGCCAGTGTGTAAATTATTGTTCATTTTTTTTAATCTAGATAACATTCTGAGCTGGCAATAAATCTGTAAGCAGGAATGCAAGAAAAAGGTTGAGTTTGTAAGACTGGGACTGGACTTTCCAAGCGCTATGATAGGTGAACTGACGAAGAAAAATGCGACATCCATCGCTACTATCGTAAATAATTTTTGCCTTGTGTCCGCAATGCTCTTCTTACATCAATCAAGTTTTAATGTCGCACCGAACGATAATTTCTCAGTTGTAGTGATATTAACTAATCAGTCTCGCAATGTAGTGGATTTAAAAAATTGTCTGTAGACTGTATGGTTGCTATCGCTGTCGTGTTCTCGGCAAAAAAAAAACGCTATCGCTGTCGTGTTCTCGGCAGACAGGTTCTGGCGCGGCTGAGTCCGTAACGGTATACCTACCCTGGCGTTCGGTCAACCGGCACAGTTGCTTAATTCTCGGTTGAAACTTACTGCTCTTGAAGCATTCAGAATGTTGATCAGTACTTAGAATAAGTATTTAGATACTTGTAAATTGTCTACGTGGGTAAGGAATACTCCGAAGAAATAGTAAAGGACAATCACACAACATCGCGAAGGAATTGTGGCAGCTGCGATATGATCTGCGTTTGTTGAGATCTTCATGAAATATAAAGCTAAATAGATAGTATAGTATTAACCCAAGTTACTCATATATAAAATCAAATAACCTACATCTTTGTGAAGAGATGCGGATTGCTTACGACGCTCATACGATGGCAACATCCAGCGGTCGAGATTGCAATACTGCGTTGAGAAATGGTCCTATGATTAAACCTAGTTTGTTTAGAAAAAAATATTGATAATATAAACAGGAATTATTAAGTTATGGTATTGGGTCAATTTGAATGAGAGGAAAATTTAAATTCTATGAATTGAAAAAAAATATGGCTGAATTTCGGCAGAAAATGCAGGTACTGAATAACGCTATTAAAAAATATTTGAATGTTCACTAATCCACAGTGAGTAGGCACATGCACCTGACTGAATACCCGAGTAGGTATAATACGGGGCTGCAATGTGACGATCGATGATCGGAACATTTCGCTGGACACGCGATCAAGGCGTTACTCAGATAACTAATGCATTATAACTGCTAACTTTCTAGCGAACATCTTTCTCCTGAAATAGCGCCTTCACGTTACTAGCCTCTTTATAATAGTTAAATAACGATATTTTTTGGTAATACTTCACAGATTAGGGAGACATGTTTTTATATCTTTCCTGTCTATGGAAAGAAATTACCCAGAGGATTTATTCATTTATTGACACGAAGTCAAAACCTAATTACAATGCAAACATCCATGTTATTTCACTGATGAAAATACGATCGCGGGCTTTATATAAGGAACGGTTCGAGTTCCATAAAATATTGATTAGTTAATCGACTTGAATATACAGTTATCATGCATAGGAAATTAGAGGGTATATTGATGATCAAAGCTACTGACTGTAAAAATCAGAATTTATTGTATAATATAGTTAAAAGTTTGGAGAATGAGCATACATAAAAGTAACGTAGCATTCAGGAGCCATTTGTGAAAACTTATCAGCAATTATCAACACGGTGACTGTGAAAAACTGGCCCTATTCATGAAGCTTTTACTGCTACACGAGACAGAACCCAGAGTAGGGCTTGGAAGCCACACAGCTGATGAAATTTATCTTCACTGACCGGCGCACCCCTACCACCATCACAGTCACCCGCATACTGACTAGCGGTTGTCTTTTTGCCTACGGAGAGCGTTCAGAACTTAGATCTTGAGACTTATGGCCTACCTACAGGAGCTAAGAGCAGGTGTTTCAGTAACGTGTACCTTTTCTGATATAGGCAAAGATTTCAATGGCGTTTTCTTCTGACGATATTTTCTCAATTTAATTGAAATCCGAGACATCGGAAAATTTAATTTGAAAGGTAAATGAAACATACTGAACAACTGAATATGCAATGTATCATTCTTCTAGTTTGCCCTTGATGCGTGATCTTGCCTAACGATTTTCGTTGCTTTGGAACACTTGACTACAGTCCAGCCTTGTCAATTAATCCTATGATCATTTACCCATAGCAGCGTAAATTATCACAATTTCATTTCAATAATTAATGAAACATGTCTTGGATGCAGCGCCACCAGCGTCTGGAGTGTGGACGGCGCTGGCTGAAGGAAAAGCTCCGGTGGTGCGGACGTTGCTCAACGAACTGTGCTCGGGCGTTCGGTAAGGAATGGGTAACACTTTACGTATAATTCGTAATGCTCGCACGAACTATAGCGGTTACGAACTCTGCTCGGGCGTTCGGTAAGGAATATTTTTTCATTGACGGAAACTTCGTTGACATACCTCAAAAAACTTTTAAAACTATTATAATTCACATATTCCAAACATTAATGATCCATAAATTGACATCTTGTGCTCACGTAAAGCTTTTTGTATAATAAATAGGAACGGCATGCTAATGCAAGTATTCCATCATCATGAATCTTTCTCAACGACCAACATTACTGACTATATTTCTATGCTTAATAGTTACGAAAAACCATTACGCAACGAAATATTATGCAATTCAAGTAAAAATTTAAAATTTCTAACACATTTATAATGCATATATCATATGGTTTATCATTGTGATGAATCATAACGTCGCTTGACACTAAGAGATTTCTCCATTGATTCAATCTACGCACATGTCAAATACGTTATGAAGACATGTCAAATATTCGTAAATACAAACTACTTTGAGCCTCAACTGTATTTTCTTTTCAGGTCAAGTCTGCTAAACAGTCTGCAGCCTTGCGGGTTGACGCCGCTGTGTCTGGCGGTAGCCTGCGACCTGAAGGAGGCGCTGCCGGTGCTGCTGGAGAAAGGAGCCTGCGTTAGGACCTACAGTGAGGACGGGCTGGGGCCTCTGCACCTCGCTGCTCTACGAGGGGCGCCGCCCCTGGTGAACAGGCTCCTCAGTGCCGGAGCTTCCTGGACCGATGGACTAGAGAGGTGGGATGTTTTGATGTGAATAATTTGAATCTATTACATAAGATGCACCACTCATAAAATTGAATAGGCCATAGTGTCCAAATAGTGACAAACTTATTTACCCTCAGCACGAAGAGAGCGGGCGTAGCACTGATACGTCATTTTGCAGGGGCAAACTGTGTAAAAATTACACACAAAAAGGCAAAAAAATGCATCGCACACGATGTGTGGACAGAATCTCATTCATTTATCAGAAAGTGCATACTTTTTTTTATTAAACTGTCTCTCATTTTTTTAAGTATGATTTGACGAATTTTTTAACTCGAAAAATACGATGGAGTTAAAAATATCTTCAAGTCGTACAGTAAACAATAATTTTTTATTTCAGGGATACGATGACACCGCTGGAGTGCGCGATGTTTTCAAGCCATCAAGAGGTAACTGACATGGCTGTTGCTCAGCTGCAGCACCTGCAGCAGCACCTGTCGCGGCGTCTGCTACAGCTGCTGCACGCTAGGCTGCTCTTTGCTGCTGTCCGAGCAGATGTTAAGTGAGTGCAAATATCTAGAATAAAATTAAAATAATAGCTATTATTATATTATAAACACTTATAATATATATTATATATTATAAACACTCGATAATGAAAACTATCACAAAAACTTTTGAACATAACCTTAGGCAATAACGACACGACGTGGTGGATTTGGTGGCCGTTCACGGAAGTTTTTCGTGCGTCAATTTTAACAAAAATAAAAGTTCGTGAATACTCAGATATTCATGGTTCACAAAAGTGGTGTGTGAATAAATCTAAGGCTGGAGTACGTATAAAGTATGATTGTCTGCACTAAACATATTTGATTAATAATTTTTTTAACATTGCTTGAACGTTACTGGTCCAAGATAAAAACATTGAAGATCGTGGAAGAAAACATTAATTTTAAGACATTAATTTTAAGAAAAATCTATTGATGTCTAACAGTGTATTTGGGAAGAAGCTAATTTCACGTCTACACTTGAAATATATTAAACTTTAGCAAACATTTGGAGCATCAGAAGAATATCAATATTGTTTTCAATTTGGTTGCTAACAAAAATTTTTACAACTAAAAGATTTGAAAAAGCAAAAAATTAAAAGAACAGACGCATTAGACATTATTTTGACGAATTATTTTTAATAAAAGTTGTATTTTTCCGATTCCCGTGATCAGGAACGATCGTAGCTCAGAAGGAAAGGAAAGCAGGGTGGTGACACCATCAGTGGTGACGCGGTTGGTGAAGCGTGGTGGCGTGGATGTGAACCTCAGGAGTTCACCACACGGCAACACGGCGCTGCACCACGCACTCATGTTGCGGTCCCAGGCTGTGGTGAGGCGTGGGGTGGTGGAGTGTGGTAGATTGGGTGGTGAATTCTTGGTGTGGTTAACAATTGCGTGGACAAGATTAGGATTAACCGATTAACCATTGAATGGACAAGATTAACCGTGGGTGTGTAGCGTGTGGCGAGGTAATGGGTTATGAAACTGGAGCGTGGAACTACCCTCAAAAATATGAGACATAACAAAATATTCAAATTCGAATCTTCAAGGAGCAATACTTGAATTTATTTGTTGCAGGTACGTAACTTGATCGAACTTAACGCCGACGACGATATCTGCAACACGCGCGGCTGCTCGCCGCAGCTAATCGCACGTCTGGCAGGCATCTCACTCGCTGCTGACAAGTGAAACTGGCGCTGCGCATAAACTCACGGCCCAAGTTGTCATTAAAAAATAATGTTAATCCTCACCTTTTTCTTGAAGTTCTCCAAGTAAAAAATTTATGTCTGCTTGTGAAGCCCAGAATCAAATTAGTATTCGTGAAAAGTGTCGATATTTTCTGTTATAATGATTGTTACAGCAAAAAAAATTGATCGTATGGCAACCATTCATCGCCGATTGCACGAATCAAACTCCACTTCCATTCGCCAGGTCTCACGTGGACTCATATTGAGAACCTACAATAAAGCTTAATAATTAACAATTAGTTTGATAAGCAGTTATGTAATCAATAAAAATTTGAAGTTTTAAATAATGATTTCAGAATAACGGCTCATTTGATGCCCTCTAATGACATCGCAAAAATAACAACAAAAAAAAAAAAATAGAATGCGAGTTTGTTTCAACCAATACTTCATTAAAAGGTTTCCGTCCTAGATGGTAATTAGAAAAATCCATTAATGTACTCAACCGGATCAGCTTAGGGTATAGGTAGTATAGAGTGGTTTTTATAAATATATTTACGAAGGATATAGAGTACAAGGCCGAGATCCTAGAGCTACACTATTAATAATTATCTATAGCAAGACACGAGATTCCTACACCTCTGAGAACGCCGCATGTCCAGGTAACATCAAGTAAAGATTTTAACAGTCCCAGCAAATAAGGACGTCATTGGAAAATAAATTATTTAGTAAATTTTAGTAACGAATATTTGGCGAGCGAACATACGGTGTTATTAGAAATAGTATTTAAATTAGAATTAGATTCAAATATTTTTCAACAAATCGAAGATGATTAGTTCTAGAACTGGTCTACGACACACGCATTAAACTATTAATAAAAAAATATTGATGTTAAGGCGTCATGCTGAGGAAAAACTTTAAATGTCGTTCAATTAACTTAATTAAAATGACGATACCAGTGAACATGTACTAGATGGCTGATGATATCTTACAATCTTATGTATGATTATATAATGATAATATATAATGAAAGACTTTACGTAATTTTTATAAGTTCGATGTAAATGCAGGATTTTAATGTTTCTTTGCAGCATTAGTTTTTTCTTTATTTCTTTATTAGTTAGAATGCAACTTAATTTTGCGTTCAGAATTCGGTAAATTACAGAAAACAGTTATAAATATAATTTTTAAATATTTTATAAAGCAGTTTTTTCTGCAGGAAAATTTCAGAAAAAAAGCTGCTCAGGTTTCGAGTTTACGCCATTTGGGGTCAGGTTAGGATAATATTTCTCATATATAATCCTGGCCAGGCAATCACTTCATGACAGCTAATATAGCATCGGGCTCTTTATTGAAACGCTGCTATTTTTCCCCTCGCTTATGTCCAGAATAGCAAACTTTCGAGGCCGGCCGGATTATCAAAACACCGCAACTTACACGTAAATGCTTACGCACTGCGTAAGTGCTTAGACGTAACTAGAAATGGTGGTATTATAAAAAAAATTACGCAAAGTTACGTGTAAGAAGTTGATACTCCGGCCTCGGGTTCAGAATAGCGAAATTTAATCAGCAAGATACACTAGACGTCAAACGCAAAAATTTCGAAGATACAAGTGGTAGAGCTGAATACCTCAAATTGAATAGATTTATCCCAAAAACTTTAAAAAGGATTAAAAAATCAATCATAATCATAGAAAAAATTTTCCAAAAACGCTTGAGTGATATAATGTTTTAAGACGCGCTATAAAACTCGAAATATAAGGGCTCTGCAAATGGCGCATAATCATTCATGTTTTAAGGTCCAAGTCTTTTCGTAAACATGCGTATAAGTGCTAAAAACACACAAAAATTGTCATGTAAATACACTAAATTTCAATAGAAGAACAAAATATTCCACATCTAGATAAAATATGAATTAGTTGCGTGACTCACGGAAAGGTTTTCCCTTTTAACAGGCGTGAGTTTTATTGCCACTTTCAAAGTGCTGTATCACAGGCATGCTGATGAGGCGAGAAGCTTTTCTTTTAATTAATGTTCGTTTTCTTTAATTAAGATGAATTAATCAATGGACACACTATTAAATGCTAGTCTAACGGGAAACATGATTTGATATTTCTTTTTAAATTCGCAATTCGAATTTTCCTCGAATATTGCCACTTGCGTGTAATTGCGTGTAAAGTTTCGCGATTCTTACTATTAGTAGTAAGATGGTTTTCTGGTGCTTCAGCTATCAAGCCATTTCGCCCCGGACGTCAAAAGATAACATCGCCAGCGAGGCGGAAGGTCTCAATTATTCAAAATCTTAATACACAATTGAAACAAACTTGTTAGAATCGACAATGGAATCACCTAAAATTTGATCTTTAACCTTCATTTCTGATTCAGAATAGCATAGTTCAATTAGACAAATTCTCCGCAATATAGTCAAACAATTACGTCTCGAATAAAAGCCAGTTCGACGCTTACAGCGCAGTTTTTCGAAATGAGCCCATAAATATCAATTTGCATTAAAATAAATTACAATGCAGAATCTATTTGCTAAGTAAACTATCTTTCGTACACTGCATCAAGTTAATTCACTCCTTCTCTCATGGGCTGAAGAACGGCTAAGCTTTTGTCAGCAGCAGTGGCAACGACAGCGCAATAATACAGCAAGAAACCATCACAAATTTCCTGAAGTCATATGCTGCATTCGTGGACAGCGAAATTTTCTAAATTTACAACATATGTGATAGAAAAACCTTAAGTGCTTCTGGTGATGATTATTTAGAAAATCGGGTGATTAGGAAAGTTAGTAGGTAGTTAAGCTTTTTAGTTAGAGGTAAGGTTCCGTGTTGAATAATAATCTGCAGATTATAAAAAGAGGATTTAACACCGAAGAAGCAAGCCCATGGCAGACCATCACATTTGATCAACGGTCGTTGTGCCATAACGCACTATAATTTCCATTAAAACTAAGCTTTACAACACTAATATAACTTAGCGCTACATTGCTTACATTCATAACATTCGTCAGGAATCAGGATAGTAGAAAATCTAGGAAAATTTCTTCGTGAAAATCTCATTAGGTCTCATACAAATGTTTTTTCGTAAGGCTTTCGTCTTATACTACGTACATTGAATGAATTCTGTACCTGACTTTCAATATATAACTAATTATATCAGATCAGGATTCTTACAGCTATCATACAAAGAATCGGGTAGAATTTGAAGTCCAAAGTTTGTTAAAAGAACGCGTATTGCTTTTTGAGCAATTATTAACACATTTACACATATTAACAACTAAAGCATGTCAACTTATTGATGGTTCTTCTTGAAAAAAGATATTTAGATATGAATTTGTACTTCTGAATTGTATATGTCACTCGAGCTGAAAATTTCGGGTATTAAAAAGAAAAAAAAATTCATGCGCCGTCCGGTAAAGTTATTATTTATAATCAATGCCAATTAAATTGATGTTCAAGTATCAACATAATAAATGGACTAAAAAATTCCTTAGACTTTATGTATATGATTTCGTAGAATTTTCGTTGTAGTGTATAAGAGCTCAACATTACAAGTCCTTGGGGGTAAGGATGAGCTCAAGGTGTTCTTGAGAGTTGTAGGCATCAAGAGCTGTTGAAGGCACGGGTAAAGATCTGGGAGTTCCATTAGGATCTAAGAAATCTTTAGCTTTAGGCTTCACTGGAGCTTGAGGAAGACTTAAAGAAGACCCCAGCGGGTGTTTTCTTGGGGTGATGATCAGCGGCGCAGTTTTGTTTCTGGCCGTTGTTTTATTCTTCGATGACGCCGGCCTGGAGTCCACCGAAGTGTTAGCGATGCCGAGGTCTTGGCTGGTCGAGGTGTTCACTCCGCTGTCGGGCGACTGAAAAAATTTAAAAATAATCAGCAGGGGAAGTATATACAGTTTTTGTAACAACAGTTGTAGCAGTTTCATCATTTGGGCAGTTCACAACTGAAATACTGGAAATTTAAGATAAGTTGCCAACAAACGAAACATGATTGGGATAAATTTTTTAAATGCGTCTGCTTTCGTCGGTTCAGTCTAATAATAGCAAAGATTTCTTTAATTATTTATGCAGTGAATAATTAAATATTTCGCAATAATAGAGGTCTTTAAACTGTGTTGCGCAAATTAAATCGCAAGGAATATAAAATCCTTACTTTTTGACTATCAAAACTTATCATTTTAATCAGTTTGTAATCTTGTGTCTCAATAGTGAATAATTTCCAAGGGAATAGTATTTTAGCAACAAAATGAATCTATCATGTTATTAGGACAGCTTTTTTCTCATGAAATCTCCATTAACTGCCGGTTTACTGTCGTTACAACGCCATCAGACTCGAATATCATTGACGACAGTTAACGTATCCGTTGACAGAAGTTATATACTTTCACCTTGTAATACTATCCTGCATTACCACCGTATAATACCACTCTGCACTACCATTGTAATTGGGCTGTTATTTAAAATCGTGAATACGACACGCTCTCCCATCTCACCAGGCATGTGTAGTTGAAATAACGTTGATAAAACGTTGTTTTAACAAAATCAACTCGTAATCAACGTAGTTTCAACGTTCACCAAGTGCTGCGCTAACACAACGAATAATTCTTCACAAAACTCACCCTCGCTGACACGAGGACTGGAATAAGCGAGTTTCTCATGAATATTCTGATGAAGCTCTCAAATGTGACTGCCACTGGGGCGAGAGTTGTTAGGAAATTATACAAATACAAAGGTTAAATAATACATCAAATGCAGCGGTGATTTCTCTCTTCAAATCTGATTACGTTTAGCGGTACAAATGGAAAATTTGCGGTATGGGCCAAATTAACTTGTTTTTTGTTCCTAATTTATGTCAGAAAAAGGCAACTTTGGGATGATTTGGAATTTTTATTGGGTTTGATTGAATGTTGCTCAAATTTCTGTTTCTAATTTCGTACTCAAATGTAAGTCATTAAGAGTGCAAATAATCGTACGCGAACCGAGCGATGAGTGTATGTAGCGCTGACGCTAATCATAATAATAAAATAATAGTAATAATAATAATATTATATAATTTAATGACTCTAATTTCCATACTAAATGAGTTACGAGTTTTCTCGATTCTACTGACTGTGAAGATCTGTACAAAGAAGTTAAATATGCCAGTTTTATTTGACTTCAAAAGCGGAGAAGTCATAATTGTATTACCAGAAATAATGGCTGAGACTTTGAAGGTACAAAGCTTAGTTACCATCGGCAGACTGAAAGTTAAAGCTATCACTTTCTCGGTGAAATTCGTATTTCAAAACCTGGCTAACAAATTTATCGTTGCTAGACAAAAATTACAATATTTAAGGCTATCTATTAAATTCTCAATGATATTCATATCTATAAAGGCCTGGTCCTGAACGTCCCACTGATATGTCCTTTTTCGGGGCCAACCTGGGTTAGGATGACACACAAAAGCCCAAAAAGTACATCGCAATTAGGACAAAGTCTCTCTCATTTCGCTGAGTGTAACATCGCACCTGCGGTATCAGTCTCGCCATGGCAAGCTATATAGTCAGGAATTAGCGCGCTATATAACACAGTAATGAAGCTTTTCTTTTGCAGCGAGCTGCTAAATATGCTGGCAATGGCGGGCTCATATCGCCATAATGGCGGCCTCGTTACCAATCCTCACACAGAAAAATAAAAGGGTCATACTTTCCAAATCGTTACATACTTCATTAATTGGAGAAAGAACGTAGCACTGATACGCCCCTTAGCTGGATCGAACTGGGTCAGAATGACTCACTCCATGGAAAAAGTGAATCGGTATTTGGACATGACACTGATTTATTAGATGAGGCGGTAACACCGGATTACTTCTAAACGTTGCGATTCTGAACACATGCTCAATACCGTATACAAGGATAAAAGTTAATTATAAAGAAAATAATGAAAAAGAATGAATTATAAGAAAATCTTCCGCTTTAATTTAAGGAAGACCATGAAGATTAAGTACCTGATTACTTCTAAATGTTGCGATTCTGACCGCATGCTCAATGTATCGTATACAAGGAGAAAAGTTAACTATAAAGAAAATAATGAAAAAGAATGAATTATAAGAAAATCTGTTCCGCTTTAATTTAAGGAAGACCATGAAGATTAAGTTTGCATAGTTCTTAACGTCTAGGATAAGGAATTATCTGAAGAGAGCTTGGAAGGAGGTGACGAATATTGCATTCTAGATTGCTGTATATTGAATATGAATATGATCATAATAATCGTATTAAATCTATGTTTGTCAGTTAATCAGATGTTTTTTTTCTCTGGTTGCAGTTGCTCCGCTGCTTCTTCAGTTCTGATTCTCTCGCCTTCGAAAATCTTAGAAGATTTATCCTGTGGATTCTCAAATGAAGTTTATCGGCCATTATATTCGTGTAAATATTTTAAAAATTAAAATGCAAAGAGGAAACATGACTGAAAAAGGCAAGATGAGAATTAAATTAACGACTCAAACAACAGAACGTACTTTTTATAATAAATAAAAATACCGTAAGAAGGTAATCCCACAAAAGTTGCTGCAAAAGATATAATACCGAAGCAAAACGGAAATTTTTTAAATGGAAAAGGTAATACAGATACAGAATATATAAATAGAAGTNGATTTTCATTGTAAATTTTACTTAGGATTTCAAAATGGGACGCAGCTTTCAGCGATAAACATGTAACTTGGACAAAAAAATACAACCAAAAATTACTTCATAATAACTCGGTTTTTGAGGAACCTTGCAAGTGCTCTACATAAAACTTGACCGTGAGTATTCTCGGTTGTTCACAGAAGTTTTGTAGACAGAAGTCAGATTGATAATGCGATTCTCATGTCATTGTTTGCTTTATCCCGGCCATCGTTCCATTCAAGTTTGCACGGACCCGAGAGGCCAATTCTACGTGATTTCGTGGCCAGGAATGTAGAAAAAAACTTGACGGCTTGAAGTTTACACTGAAATTCCGAGATTGAGTTCAGCGCTGTAGATAACACTGAGCTCAGCCTGCAGATGCTCGCTCGCTGTTGAAAAGTTAAGTTGTAATTACGCTGGAGTTGAGATTGGCTGGGGAAGCAGGAAAAAATTACAGAAAACTTCAGTAAACTAATTTCTGGCTCGGAATTGAAGAGCTCACTGCCCCACTATAAAACTACACCATAATATCACTAAAGAAGTATAACACCTACGAATAGCATCATTTCCTTGATAGTTATAGATAACGCCTCCACCATCATGCACACCATGCATCACGTCTATCACACCACACGTGCTACGCAAACTACAACATATTTCTACCATCACACCACACCTCTATTGTCAGTACAGTATCACACCACGTAACTGTTGCCCGTGAATTCAACTATTAAACTACATATTATACCATCACCATACTAAACTATATCCTTAACATATCCCACCACCCTGACACCAAACTACATCGTCAAAATCTCACCTCCTAAAATTAAACCATCATTACCTTACTCCAGAATCCAGATATTGAATTACCTTCCTATTTTATAGATTTCTGTGGCAACGCGATGGCACTATGTCATCAGCGCCGAACTGCGTAGTGCAGACAACATTTGCTATGACAATAAATGCAGATATATAGTTTGGTACGTAATTTATTACACGGTAATAAAACATTATGGGGATATTTTCAAAGATCTTTTTACTCATTGTGGCAGCAATTGATTAATTCGCTCCCTTGAGGTCGCGTCACACATTGAACAGGAAAAAGATTTGAGTTTTTAACCTAGCTTAACTGCGTTTTCATTTATATTTGAACAAAACATAATTGTACCTTCAACCTAAGTTTTTCAATAAAGACCCTTTTTACGTTGTAGGCATGAAAAAGATGATCTTCACAATCATTATTCTGCAGGAGTTCTCTTCAATAATTGCACATTAGAGTTTGTATACGTATATACAGTCTCAAAAATTTCCAATCTCCATAAAAGCTCAATAAACCTTCAACTGCACAATTTGTGAAGCACCAAATTGTGGTATTCATGATAAAAGCTCTTCACGATAGTCAACTGGTAACAATAGTTTTTTATAAATTGGCACTGGACTTATGGAAGGTAATATATCGTGTGAGTAAGACTCAAGATATCGTTCGTCGAAAAATATGCGCCCGCTTACAAATATCCTAAGGAAAGTCCGACAACGATGTCTGAGGGCGCAACTGCTGAGATGGATCGAGCAATACCCGACACGCATGGACGACATGAACGCCGGAACGCGGAACGCAAGATGTCGCACATGTCCAGGATAAATTACCCTGAAGCAAAATAAAAAGAAAGTAAATCGTCACTTGCGGTGCGGGGACCGGTGCTATATTTCTCAGCGGCATCGCATATTGAATAAGCCTTTCTTTTTCAGGCGAACCGATGTCTCTTGCATAAGGACATATCGATTTTTATATTTGTTCGCTTAGGAGTGAAATTAAGAGTAACTTTTAGGATCGCAACTCCTGTTTTAACGGGGAAAATATAGCGTTTCTGTCAGTTTCGTCAATTTTTAAGAATCTAGCCCACAATATTAAGATATTTAAGTCCACAACGTATTTTTTTACCCGGAATAATAATGTCGTCTCTGAGGAAATCAGCCCACTCTTGCCGCCATGTCACCCCGCCAAGCATCATGCCTCCCAAATGCCCACTAAAAGGAACGAGGAGTAACTCCCGAAGTTATGGTGTGCAATAAGGGAGTAATTCCAAGGCAATTCATTATCATAAAAGTGTCGTGCGATAACGTCGAGCCTCATCCGCTGGCCAGGTGTGGCCATACGAGATTCTCCGGCAGGACTTCATACGTCACTAAATAAACCTACTATGATGTTGAAAGGAACAGAGTCTTGACATTTTATATAGGACTTCATACATCACTAGGTATATAAACCTACTATAATGTTGACAGGAACAGAGTCTTCTTAACATTTCATATAGGACTGTAACTGTAAACTCAATAAATGCGGCAATAATATATATAGATGCCAACGTGTACACAGTCTCACATGTTTCCACTCTCCGTAAAAGCTCAATGAATGTGAATGAATTTGCAACTACTTTTCTGTGAATCCGATTGAACGAAATTCTTTCAGAAAGCTATTTGGTATAACTGAATTCAATTTCCGTATCCACTGATACAGATTTTTAGAAGAATTTATTTCAAACAAATTTTACACCAAATTAATCAAATAGCTCTGCTGGATCAACTCTCCAAATAATCATGTGCAATAAAGATGCAATTCTAAATAGTTAATCATCATAAAGAAGTCGTGAGATTGAGCTCGGAATTAGTGCACTGACTCTATATATATTTCATTATTTCCTTGGAGAATACCCGTACGATACCAGCATGATACGACAGACACGAATATCTATAATTCTTTATAGTCTTGCAAAAGCGGCCTAGTCTTACAAAAGCGGCCTAGTCTTGCAATCCTAGTCTTACAAAAGCGGCCTAGTCTTACAAAAGCGGCCTAGTCTTACAGAAGCGGTCTAGTCTTACAAAAGCGGCCTAGCGCCTCCAATGTTTAGGCCGACACCCCGAGGCAGGTTTTAGCGGCGCTCGATATGTTGCTGAGCCAGCAGCACAAAAATCCTTTATGTTCGTGCTCCCAATAAACCTATACGTGCATGATATGAACATATACTTCGGCACGCCATCTGTGGTGATCAGAGACTATAAAAAGTTATCTCTGGACATAACGACGTAAATACAGCGATGCCGGTTCATCTATTCTGGGAATAATATTATATTAACCATACCATGTTAATGTTTTCGCTACGATGAAGCTGAAGAAAATAAAACAGGCTTTATAGAAAACAAAATTTACTTTCTCGACTTCTTGCAATTGGTGCACTATGATGCAGAATGTCTTCAATAAATAGATAGTGCACTTCAGATATGCACTGCACAGAGAAATCCTCCAATATGTCTCAAAAATGTTAATATATCACAAAAATATCAATATGAATTTCTAAATAAATTTCTTGAATCAACTTTCATCACTGAAAGCACCAAAAAATAGCGCATCTATTAATAAACATATGTTCATGCTCCATTGTCGCGCACGCTTGGTAGGACTCGTATATATACAATGCAGCTATCAAGACACTATACAGAACTCAAACAAGTTCCAATTTATAGTAGTAAGAAAATAAAAGAATATATCGGAACAGTTTATTTTATAAGAGCTACAAATAAACCGCGTTGCGGATGCATCAACACGTCATCAACAACACACCGGGTAGCGGATGCATCAACACGTCATAAAAAACACACCAGGTAGCGGATGCATCAACACGTCTGAGCGGTCATCAACAACACACCGGGTAGCGGATGCATCAACACGTCTGAGCGGCCANTGGCATTGGATTGTTATGATGGCAGCACGACAGCATAGAGCGTGGCATTGGATTGTTATGATGGCAGCACGACAGCATAGAGCGTGGCATTGGATTGTTATGATGGCAGCACGACAGCATAGAGCGTGGCATTGGATTGTTATGATGGCAGCACGACAGCATAGAGCGTGGCATTGGATTGTTATGATGGCAGCACGACAGCATAGAGCGTGGCATTGGATTGTTATGATGGCAGCACGACAGCATAGAGCGTGGCATTGGATTGTTATGATGGCAGCACGACAGCATAGAGCGTGGCATTGGATTGTTATGATGGCAGCACGACAGCATAGAGCGTGGCATTGGATTGTTATGATGGCAGCACGACAGCATAGAGCGTGGCATTGGATTGTTATGATGGCAGCACGACAGCATAGAGCGTGGCATTGGATTGTTATGATGGCAGCACGACAGCATAGAGCGTGGCATTGGATTGTTATGATGGCAGCACGACAGCATAGAGCGTGGCATTGGATTGTTATGATGGCAGCACGACAGCATAGAGCGTGGCATTGGATTGTTATGGTGGCAACACGACAGCATTAGGCACAATATTTGATTGCCATGAACGCAGCACGGTATCATAGAGCTGTGCACAAGATTGACTTTTGCTGCTGTTGTTGTCACAGTTGCTGGAGTTGCCATGCCGACAAAGCTCTTCTTATATTGGCTATCGCAGCTTCAAGCACACACGCGAAGGGATTTCATTTGCGATTAGAAAAACTCCAGTTATTTCTGCAACCAACACCGAGAGCTTTAATTCAACATGATTTCCAGCGGAGGGATGGAAATCAATGAAAACATTTTCTTGGAAACGAAACAATTTCATCTCTGCTGGCTTAATTTAAAATTTTATGGCTACTTGGTCGCGAATGGTAAATGCACATTTCTCAACACTTGTAAAGCTTTTTCCGTAGGGAAAAGTTAGTAAGATATTTTAGCAATAATCACAGAATCGTGTAAGTTGACAAAATTCATCAACTTGTTCGGATTGTTTTTTTTGTTAATTGTTAACCATCATGTTTAAGAAATTCAGTAGACTTCTTAGCTTAGAAATTACCTGAAAGCGTACCATTTGCCTATGTAACGTAAATTCACGAATTCAATCTCGAAAGACCTTCCTGCCGGAATTGTAAACTTGAGTCACAGTATCTAAGGTAAAATAAACATTATCATACATAAAGTTATTTAAAATTCAATTGTTTGATAAGAATACGAGTGCTGTTTTTTTTGGACTTTTTCGTAAAAAAACATTTTGCAAAAAATAAAGAAGAGATCAAATATTTTCTGATGAAATATTTTTTCTTGATCGAACGTTGCGTAACCTAACACGGGGTGTTGAAATTGAGGAAAACAGCCGGTGATAGGTCATTTAATATCTTGTATTTTATCTAATTTACTACACAAATACTTGACAACATTTATTTCATTCTCAATTTTCATAAGGAACATAAATGTCGTGCACGCAGTCTTCGAGAACACAATCCTTCTCATCAGATGCATCCATGCAGTGTAATTAAATATAGATAGTATTATCCGTAGACTTGTTAGGATAATCACTCGTGCTCGATCCAATAAAACCTACGTTGAATTATGAAAATACTTAATCCATGAAAACAACTAAAAGTTGCTGGGCAAACGAATTACTATGGGTCTAAGCACAGCTTGAATGATCAGAAAAATGTGACCAGTTGTGATCAGCCTGTGCGTACTTGGATTAGGGAAAGAAATGAGTCCAGTTTAGTCTCACCTCGGCGCAGTGAGGTTGTGTGGAGGGAGATTTCTCCGGTGCAACGTCCCAATTCGTGAAGTTCGGCGCCACACCAGAGCCTGTCCACCTGTAGCTTGTGTCTGAGGCCTGCTTGACGGCAGCTAGCCATGTCGGTCCTGTGATCAGGTCTGTGGGGCATAAGTTATGTTAATGTAACGACTACAGTCTTTTTAGCGCATTTTCTCATTTATGGAAAAAAGGCGCTATTGTGCTTGTCATGTCCGTCCGTCCGTCTGTCTGTCCGTGACTACACGGACGAACAGACGAGGAAATGCGCTCTCTGTCACTCACTGCAGTGAGTACTGAGTTATATTTTTTACTTTTGTAATACTGGAGATAATGCCACCATTGTAGTACTGTATATTTTAATTTTCGTACTATTTTCCTCAATGAAAACACTCTATACTGCAATGTAATTTTCTCAATGTAATTTCAGGCATCTGCGGCTCCCCCAAAAAACTTCACAATACTGAGACTTCTAAGGTCATTAAAATTATGTCGACAAAAGTCAAGTGACTAGTCCATCACTAGCCTAGAATATTTTCTAATGCAAAAAAATCTAGCAGAGAAAGCATAGATTTTATTCGCCTTTCACGATGTTTAATAAAAAACGTATCTTTTGCAACGCCATTCTCGAAAAGGTCTATTTATAGATGAAATTGACACAAATGTTCAAAGACATGAATGCGATCATAAAAATAAAACATTAAGATTATTCTAGGTTCTGTCGAACGTTTGCGAAAGACCCAAACAGAGAGTGCAAAATTCTGAATGGAAATTGAATGTGAATGAACTTGAGATCCGCACGGCTATGTGGAGAGCACGATCTGTTCAGGGGAGAGTCTCTGCATCATCCATGGTTAAAAAACATAGCCGCCGTATCGGCGTTCACAGAGAGGACGATCGTTGGCCGACGCAATAAGGTGCGATGATTTTAAATAAGGTTTTTGCTCTGTTGACATAGCAGCTATGCAAGCAGTGGCAGTCGCGGTTGCTTCATATTGCCATATTGCCGTCTTGCACAGGCATGTGTAGGAAAATATGTTATAACAAATGCTAGGAAACATGGAGAAATTATTAGCAGCATAAAGTGGCGGGGTTTGAAATATTATGCCACACATATAATTTTATTGACATATTTACTCCATGAATAGATTCGTTCATTTATTGTTTATGTGCATGTAAGGATCACATGCCAATTATAAAAATTTTTAAATCTTTCCTAGACAATTATGAAAATGAATTCACTTATTACTTGCAAACTCAATGCGAATAAAATTTGTTTTAATTTTTAATCTAAATGCCCATGAAACGAACTTAGCTATCTGAATGAATCCCAATTACTTTTTTTAACAAGAGACATTAATAGGAAATGAAAAAAGAAGCATTTGCTTTCATTGCGAAGTATGCGAGAGCTTCCAAGATTCCCGCAGCAGTTTAGGGGCGTGGAACGAAAAATTTGCACAGATGAGCGCATTCCGGAGAACTTTACTGAGCGCCCGGAAGTCATTTAATTTCCGCTTCCGTGATTTTTGAGCCGCCATTGAACGTAGTGGAGATCGTCTAGCAGCGAATTGCAGTGTCGGCAGTAAATTAGATCGGTTTGTAAAACGCAACTACAAATAAGAGCGACATAAGTGGTGCATAGAATTACTATACATGAGCATTGTGTAATTTGTGGCGGAAAGCTAAATAATTATTGATTATTGTAAGCATACTGAGGTTTAGTGATAATGATATCGAAACGCAGTAAAACAAATTAGATATTATGCAGCAAATTTTGCCCACTTTGCAAAGATGGACGACACAATTACAAATATAAATCTTCAGGCAGAACCACAACTTCAATAAAATCTTGCTTTGAATTAAAGGATTTTGTTTGCAGGAGTGATTGGCAGTAAAGATAAAAGGTTTCCAAAACTCGTGTTCATAAAACAGCTACCCATCCTTATGATCCTTTCGTCGCGGCTCATGAAATTCTAATTTTTCGGCCCCGGCAATGTTGTGAGGTCGACACCAAACGTGTCTGCGGAGCGGTTTCTTTTTTCGGGGGCATCGGCGTGGAAATGAAATGGACTACGAATGAGGCGATCTCATTGCAGGCTGACATGCAAACAGGCGCTCTAGTGGCCTGCTTTAATGGACCTGCACTTCACTTGACATGACAGGAGGCCATCGACCGCTGATGTATTCGAATGATCGAGTGCAGTAAGTGTTGAGCTCTTGTAAAGTTCATCTTAATTACAGATGAAATGCATGAAAGTCGCCGAAGATTAACTTGAGCATGTTTCGAGTAACTTATTCGCGTTGAGCTTTAAATACAATAGACGCACAAAGTTTTTCAACGATCAATTATTCCAAGAATAAATTAGCTCCATTGTATGAAAGCCCCATTTACCTGGAGCGAATAACGAAGTTTTCCCCAAGTATTTTATTCTTTCAAAGAACTTTACTCTCTTAACATTATTTTTTACATAAAGTATCTCATTTGCCTGCTGATCTACATTAATATTTCGAAGACGACCATTCACTGGCGAAGAGTTGGTTGCGGTCCATACATTTACCCGGAGCGAATAACCAAGTTTTTTATTCTTTCAAAGAACTTTACTCTCTCAAAATTATTTCTATACATAAAGTATCTCATTTGGCTGCTGATCTGCATTAATATTTCAAAGACGACCACTCACTGGCGAGGAGTTGGTTGCAGTCCATGGACAGGACGATGGGCAGGGCAGCACCCATGTCAGCGCAGTAATGACCCGCCTGCTCGAAGGTGGCGTTGTCGTCTGTCGTCCTCAGGCAGTCTGGGTCGCTGTAGTGCCAACCGCTCGGACATCGAGCTGAGAAAATATACATTTTTACGATAAGGTAATTTAAACCCACAATTTAATACGTTAAACTTTCAAAAGCATAGTTTATTCCGCAAAATTTTTAAACGGTCGGACATCGAGCTGTGAAACAATCCATTTTTACGATAAGGTAATTTAAACCCACAATTTAATACGTTAAACTTTCAAACGCATAGTTTATTCCGCAAAATTTTTAAACGGTCGGACATCGAGCTGTGAAACAATCCATTTTTACGATAAGGTAATTTTAAACGCACAATTTATTACGTAAAATTTTCAAACGCATAGTTGATTCCGAAAAAATTTTAAACATACACTTTTAAATTTACAGAAAACACGCACACCCTTAACGCAATCTCGAATTTGACTTGTCTTGCGTAACTCAGTTCGATGACCTGCCAGGATGTAGTTCCAAAAATATCAAGGATATGCGTTTACTTTATTTTGGCTTCGATTTCCCTTGAGAGTTTGGTTTTCGAAAAAATAAATCCGTTTTCATTTTGGTGCACAAGTGCGAGATCTGAAAAACAGCACCGCGTGTTTCGTCACTGATTAAATTTCCTCGTGAGATTGATTACCTTAATTAAAGCAAGAAATCATGTGGCATTGCTAGTCAGTCAGGAAGCGGCAAAAAAAACAAAGGCAAATTTTGAAAATGAGTTTATTATTTTCGAGATCAGTGGTAGAAAGTTTGTAAAAAATCTAGTCAAAATTCTTAGAGAATAAGGAATCAGGGTTCGGTGAAATAACAAGCACAATTTTTATTCTCACAACCTTCATCTAAAATTAAAGTTATACCTATTTATATCCTTATACTTTGGTTGGACTCTCTTTATTTCGCAATCGATCTCCAGCCATCGGAAAAACTTCGCTTCGTAGCTATTACGATTGAGCCCGACCTGAAAAAGGCGGAACGTACATTCGCTTCAGGTCGCGTCCGGGTTTTAGAAACACTTCTTTGGAAATCGTTCACTTAGGATACGAAAAATGCATAACACGTTACCAATTTTGAGAGAGAGCAACGGTCTAAACATTACGCCACACTATTTAAACATTACGCCGCATGATTCAAACATTACGCCTAAAACCCAATCCGTATACATGTATTTCAAAGCAGGGAACATTATCATGTGGATGTAAATATTTCACAAATAACTGGTCCATTCCGGCCATTTAAAGAGTAAATGAACATTTCCGGCAGTTCACCAGACTAAACGTCCTTATTAGAATATCCATATCAATATTTTATTTGAATCATTCTAGTTACCTCCCCACTATACTCATTCTTCATTTTTCCTCACTGTTATCTTGTTTGATTGACTTTCTTCTCTTACTAGAATTAAAATTAAATTACTGAAGACCCTTACTCGCCGCTCGTCAAATCGTAACTTCTCAATCATTTCTAACTTTAATTTATTACTTCCCTCTCCCCTTTCATTAAGGTCGGTATAAGAGTAATCTCGCTACCCCCACTTCAGCCGCAGAGGGAAGACAACGTTACAAGTCCCGGACAGGAGCTGTAGTGATCACTGGACCTTTTGTGTAGTCCTATAACGGCTCAAAAGTTTGGCCTCATCCAGCCCTGTCCGTTCAAAAGACTGAGACATGCTATTAGTTTTTCAATTTAGTAGAGAACTTTTGGAATTGCCTCTGTTGGTCAGGAAGCCGCCCTCACTCAGCTTTGGTGTTTGCTCAACTAATCAACTGGAAAGATACACTGCTGAGCATCAACAAAAGGAATGTCGGGACATGAGTGCACTAGAAGTTTTTCAGATAGAAATATTGGGCAAACGTGTTTATTTCCAAATTGGTTTGTTTTATACGGATTGACAAACTACCAATAATTTAGCGCGATAGAAAAGCAGAGAATAACTCTAGGAAAGGGTAAACTTTTTGATGTACTTGAAATTAAATATTCAAATTAGCTAAAAATCGGACACATTCAATCTCACACCGTAGTATTTCTCTGAAAATGTCTTGGACCACCAACAATCAACGAATAATTCATTTCGTTTATTTGCTTCACTACCAGCACAAGAAAGCATTGCAAAATTCCTTTAACCGAAAATCTTTATTTAGGTGACTTTTTGGGAGTTCACACAGATTTTGGTTAAGGGAATAATCGAGATTTGTTTTTTCCTGATGGCATATTTTATATGAAGTACGTGTGAAAAAATAAATAATCCTTTTGAAAAAGTTAACATGAAAAAAAAATCCGCATTTGAGAATAATTATAAGAATGAATACTTTGTTGTAGAAAAACACTGCATCAACATGAGCAAATTTTAAGCTGAGGCTTGTCATGGAGCGGACAACACTGTAATGACATAACAAATATTATTCAGAACCTACAGTGATGACATATAACAAGCATTATTCAGAACCTACATTTATGATATAACAAACATTTAGATCCTATAGTAATAACAAAACAAACATTCAGAACCTACAGTAATGACACAACAAGCATTATTCATAATCATGAAATGTTTTAACGTCGCACAGACGAAGGCAGCGCATTTGTGCGACGTAGCAGGGACAGGCTTATGGCCGTTTGTCATCGTCGCCTGAAGCAATAAATTTATGAAGCTTTAGAGTTACAATGATTTGTAGCGCGTATTGGCCAAGTTGTTCCTTTATTGGGATATTGAAGAAATAATTCAATCCGAACTCGCCCGAATGTGCAATAAACTCTACCGTAATCCTTCCAATTTGTTTTTGAAATAATCTGTCAAAAATAAATGTTCTTGAGTTATCATGCGAGCGAAAAATTTTGTTGTACCATCTAGGACACTCAAGAAAGATAGAAACAAGAAAGAGACGCGTTTTAAGGAAACTATTTATTCAATTTTCACTATTTTTTCCACAGGACAGGTTTTTTAAAAAAAATGCTGAATCATGGGAAACCTCAAATAGAAAATTCCGATATTTTGCTTAGATCGCGACCACAGTAACGCAGCAATATTTTGCGCTGCCTTCACTTAAAAAAGTAAATTTGTATGTGTAGAAAATATTTCTATGCACTTTCGCACAAAGTTACATTCAATGTAGAGAAATGTGAATTGCCTGGTAACGAGGGTTGTAATTTTTTTATATTTTTTATAGTACAGGGTGATTCACGGACACTTCCTGATTTGGAAACTCATTTAAAAAAAAGATTAGTAAAGATGTCGTTAAAATATAAATTTATTGGAAACGTCATTACCTGAATTTTTGTTTCATTTAGTTTTAAAGATGACATCGGATAAATGACGGCCTCATTGTTAATGCATTCAGTTAGTCTTAGTCAATGTTTGAAGTTCCGTTCAACTCGCTGAAGCATATTGACGGGGATATTGGCGATGGCTTGGCGTATGTTGTTCTTCAAATGAGGTAGGGTCCTTGGACAGTCATTGTAAACAATTGATTGAAGATAATCCAATAAAAAAATAACACGGAGCGAAATAGGGGGATAGTGCCGGCCAAAGAAGGTTACCTCTGATGGAGATGAGGCGCTCTGAAAAATGTTGTTTCTGAAGAACCATTGATATGCAGGCCGTGGCTCCATCCTGCTGGAACCAGACATCGCTGACATTCATTCATTTCAGTCAGTTTTGAAAAAAAACGTCAGTCATTGGCGTGTATCGAGCTGCAGTCACCGTTACTGCACCATCGTTTTGCTCAAAGAAATAAGGGCTAATTGTGCCGATTTTAGACATCGCACACCACACAGTTACGTATTCACGATGAAGTGGCCGCTGATGGAGTTCACGCGGGTTGTTATATCACTCAAATAACGAATGTTTTGCTTCTTTAGGCAGCTGGAAATTTTGCAGTGAGCCTCATTACCAAAGAAAACGACTGCATCGTGAAGCAATATTCCAAGAAGAGCTTTGCTTGCATTTCGTGAATTACTGTCAGTAGACAGAAGGTTAAGTAACGTTTCTAAAATACCGTAGTAAATGACCTATCGGAACGGAATGACGCGCAAACCTACGAACGGTGAAAAACCAAATATAAAAATCTGATGGAGGTCGTAACCTAAATGAACCATCGTCTAAAAAAGCTAGAATAAAAGATCTAAATAGTCTGAGAAGATCTTGGTTTTCTCATTAAAACTTGTGAGGCGAAACTAATGCAGAGAATTATCGATAGCAGGGAAGGCGACCTGGGAAACGAAGCTCAAACTTTGGAAATGATCACATCTGGCAAAACTTCCGGCAAGGAGGTGGATGTAAGTTGCATCAAAGTTGCACCTAAAAAAATTGGAACAATTGGATGAAATTATCTAGGCAACGGTTTTCAGGTCAGTTATAGCGACTGGGGAGAGTAAGTGAAATAAAATTGAACGCATTTTGTTATATTTAAACAACTGCAAACTGTAAGAGAGTAATAAAACAAGCGTAGATTAACTCTAATTAAATCATCTCCGCGGTGCCGGCTCAACAATATCAGCTATCCTCAGCTTAACAATGCCAGGTAGCCACAAGGAAAGGTGCCAAGCAGCTAATCAGACTCGACAGTGTAAGGTGGCTTTGAGTCAACATCGTCAGCCAGCTCAAACTCGTATTTGTAAGGTGTATTCGCATCAAAAAGGCGAGGTGACCACGAATCAACAGGACCTTGTGGTAAAAAAAATAAACAGTTCCGGGTTTCTGCAGTAAAACAATGCGAAATAGTTTCAAGTTGATACCCAAACTTAACACGGCCAGTATTCCTAAACAAAACAATTATAACAGCCGAGTTTCCAGTCTGCTGGAAGTGCTGGAAACCTCAGGTAGGAGACCAGGCTGGCTTGTCATGGTAACGAAATCAGCGTCAGCGGTAAATCGCTGGATGAAGCAGCCGCCGCAGCTTAAGACTCCGCTTCCTTAATTCCTTCCAAAAACGATAAATAAATAAAAATTAAAAATTAATCGCTTTCTTGAACTAGAACTTGTTTCAGAGGTAACGCGATATGAAACCTTGCATTTTTAATTGCGAATAATATGCTGATAAAATGTGCGCTTTAT